AGCTTTTCCAAGGAGAGCAGTCTCAGGCCTGCCATGTTGATGCCTTTCTGCAGAATCTCCAAGACGTTTGCGGATGGGAGGGAGGTCCCAGAGTTGGTTCCATGGCTCAATAATGTGATCGGGAACCAGTCTCTTCCACACTTTCTCTCCTTCATTCACAGTGAATTGGTTTCCATCCTCAGGCTGGTCACTTCAGGCTCACAAGACAGCAACTGTAGTAGAAAGGGAGGAACGGGACTCTCCCCATAGCTCCCTTTTTATCAGGAAAGAAAATCTTTCTGGATGCTGCCTTGCAGGTATCCCTTTAAATCTCTTGGGCTGGAGCTGTCACATGGCTTTTCTAAGCTTCAGGGGACTCTCAGAAATTAAGTATCTGGCAGAGATCCTGACAGAAGCAGTGCCATTACCTTGGTTGGTGTGGACTTGTCAAGATTCATTCTCTTGGGGCCGGCCACATGGGCACCCATCAACATTGGGGTGGTTTTGACAAGGCAGAAGACGGGCTGCTGGCTGGGCAGCCAGCAACAGCTGCCCCTATTACATAGGACAAATCGTTTTTCCTCTATGAGCTTCAGCTTCCCTTTCTGTGAACTGGGTAGATTATTCCTTCTCCTCGTCCCAGGAAGGTTATGAGGATAAAATGACATAATGAAAATGAAGGTAAAATAACTACTTTAAATGTTAGCTGTCTGTCCCCACCTTCCAGAAGGTCGCTACGTCGTACTCACATGCATTTGAATTTGACTTCCTTTTCTTTGGTGCTACTTCATTTCAGACCCTCACTTTATGGACTGAAGTGGAAATTGTACTCCTGGTACTTTCTGTTAACTCCTATCTTAGTTTCAGTTTTTCCTAGCCAGTTATAAAACTATCTTTGGCCCGGCACAGTGGCTTACTGTTGTAATCTCAACACTTTGGGAGGCCAAGGTGGGTGGTTTCTTGAGCTCAGGAGTTTGAGAACACCCTACCCTGGACAACATAGTGAGACCCCCATCTCTATAAAATAATAATAATAATAAAAATACAAAAATAAAAATAAAAGCTGTCTTTAACTTGGTGTCAGCTGATCTCTTTGGAAAATTAATACATCACTTGTCTTTGTGGGCTTCCCCCCTGAAAATCTCGTCATGCTCTGCTTCTCGCTCCCAGGCCACTCTAATAACTCTCCGGAGATGGTCCTCCCTCCATGCTGCCACATCTGCCTAATGAATAGTCTTGTTTTTCTTGTTGTCTTTGATTCTCTATTTGTTTTGCCTTAGAGATGGACATTCCTTCAGGGCAAGAACTGTGCTTTCTGGAATATTCAGTGTTCAGTAAACTCCACCCACAAAGTCATTGAAATCTAACTGAGGATTAGAAGATTATGCTAAAATACCAGTTTTTAAATGACATTTCTCCCTTGGAATAAAAATGATGGTTTGAATTCAAAATATGTTTCTGAGGAAATGTTAGTTAAAAGGAATTTATTTCCAAAAGAACCCTCTTTGGGAACTTCAGATTTCTTTCTCTGACTGCAAAGCATGGTTCTGTTCCTGGACCAAACTGAGGGTGGGGCTATTTCTCGTAGCCCAATAATGAGATTCAGATGAACTGGGGAGGAAGAGAGGTTTTTTTATTTCTGTAACCAGTTACAGGGAGAAGGCCTGGAAATTATCACCAGACAAACTCAAAATTACAAAGTTTTCTAGAACTTATATACCTTCTAAGCTATATGTGTGTGTGTTAAGTGTGCATTCATCTAAAGACAGAAGTGACTGACTTATTTTTACCTGTAACTAAGGTCTGAGTCCTGAAGACCTTCCTCTGGAGCCTTAGTAAATTTACTAATCTAAATGGGTCCAGGTGCCGAGGTGATTACCCTTATCTTGTCTCCTGCTGTATCACGGAGGTTTGGGGAGTTTCTTCAGACCCCCAATAAATCTTGTTTAATCATGCTTTAAGGTTCAGGGAAGGCCTAAGGAAAACTCTTGGTGGGCTTCTGTTACATTCCAGCCTTTATATAAGGTCACTGGCTTTTAACATTTACCTTAACCACTCAGTCAGTACTGAAACAGTTGTGATGAAGGCCTACGTTAGTGAGACCTGGCCTGCCGCAGTTTTACAAAGTAGTGGGACTGTCTACCCATTTTATCATACTACTCTGTACAAATAGAGTAGTCATAACTAAAGAGAAAGGAGTGATTTCCCTCAAGCTCAGCATTTGTTCTGTCACTCCCCATTCATCCATTCAACAAGTACGTACTGGTCATCCACTGGGGATACAGTGGTGAATCAGACAGCCTGGGTCCCTGCCCTCATGAGGCTAAGCATGAGCTTTCAGTCTGGCTGAGAAGACATTCACCAAGTAATTGGTAGAGTGTTTTGAAGATTGTTGATCAGGCAGCAGTCTTCAAAACACAGGATATACGGAGGAAGCACATCTCAGGACATCCATCCTAGTCAAGGGAATATTTCCTAAGGAGAAGCGGTATTTAAGTAGAGACCCACAGCATGTAGTGAGTTAGCCCAATAGAGGGTAGGCAAAAATATTTCAAACCAAGGAGGCCTCCTTGGAGGTACTAAAGAATTTCCATGTGATCATATGAATATAGACTAGGAGGAAGGAGAATGATGAGAACTAGACCAGAGGTAAGTACCAAATAGCTTCCTGTGGTATGTCCTAGGGGTGTTTTGATGGGATTGACAGATAAACACTACCAGACTTAATGGGAGGAAGGAAACTGTTAAAGGGAAGGTGGTGAAAGGGTCATTCAGATGGAGACATAGTATCACTGGCTTCCAGACACCTGTACAGCCTGCTGGTTTCCTGGAAGTAATACCACACACAGAGTGAGGATGGAATCTGGTGTGCAGATCTCCCTTTGCCATTCTTATGGGACCTTCTCTACCTGCCTGCCCCTTCAACAGGTGTAAGTAAGAGAGGCAAGACTGCCCTAATGTGCCAGAGATTTCTCATGAGAAGAGGATGTCAGTTGCTTGGAAGCATCCCTCGGCAGGTCCAGCTTCAAGACCTGCATCAAGTCTCTTTCAGCAGCCTGGATTCTGTAGGATGTGGACTTTGAAATGATATAGCCCTTATAGTGCAATAGAACCTTGACACATACCTTTTTTCAGGTCTTCTAGAAAGCTAATTTTGTGGCTTTGTTTTATAAAAAATGGAAGTTTTGTGGGTTCCACTTTTAATCTTGTTCTACATATTTGCTCATTATTATTAAGAATGATTTCAGGCCAGGCACGGTGGCTCAAGCCTGTAATCCCAGCACTTTGGGAGACTGAGGCGGGTGGATCATGAGGTCAAGAGATCGAGACCATCCTGGTCAACATGGTGAAACCCTGTCTCCACTACAAATACAAAAAATTAGCTGGGCATGGTGGCACGTACCTGTAGTCCCAGCTACTCAGGAGGCTGAGGCAGGAGAATTGCCTGAACCCAGGAGGCAGAGGTTGTGGTGAGCCGAGATCGCGCCATTGCACTCCAGCCTGGGTAACAAGAGCGAAACTCCGTCTCAAAAAAAAGAAAGAATGATTTCTAGACCAGGCTCAGTGGCTCACGCCTGTAATCCCAGCACTTTGGGAGGCTGCAACAGGTGGATCACTTGAGGTCAGAAGTTCAAGACCAGCCTGGCCAACATGGCAAAACCCTATCTGTACTAAAAATACAAAAATTAGCCAGATATGGTGGCAGGCGCCTGTAATCCCAGCTACTCAGGAGGCTGAGGCACAAGAATCACTTGAATCTAGGAGGCAGAGGTTGCAGTGAACTGACATCTGTGATCGTGCCACTACATTCCAGCCCAGGTGACAGAGTGAGACTTCATGTCAAAAAGAAGAAAGAAAGATTTCTGTTTCTATTAGGGCTTGCCAAGATTTCTATTTATTTTTTTTAATTCCTGCAGATTTATCATGGGACATGTTAATCTGGGAAAGGAGGGGCATTTTTTCTTTGAACAGGAGGGGAAGAGAAGAAAACAAAGATGGCGTATATGAGATCTAGAAAGGAAGGAATGTGTAAAGGAGCCTTGTTCTTATTGGCAAAATAGGTGGGTGGATGATTTACTGAGATACATTAGAACCAGAGACTTGAGAAGAGCAAGAAAAGTTTGAAGCAGCTACTGAGAGGAGTATGCTAAGGGTATTTGAAAGACATGAGTGAGGCCAGGCATGGTGGCTCACGCATGTAGTCCCAACACTTTGGGCAGCCAAGGCGGGCAGATCCCCTGAGGTCAGGAGTTCAAGACCCGCCTGGCCAACATGGTGAAACCCTGTCTGTGCTAAAAATACAAAAATTAGCCAGGTGTGGTGGCAGGCGCCTGTAATCCCAGCTACTCAGGAGGCTTGAGGCAGTTGAATCGCTTGAACCCGGGAGGCGGAGGTTGCGGTGAGCCGAGATTGCGCCACTGCATTCCAGCTTGGTCACAGAGCGAAACACAGTCTCAAAAAAAAAAAAAAAAACCCAAAGAGATGAATGAAAGGCCCAGTAGAGTTGGCTAGTCCACCAAGAAGGTGGTGTTTTTCTTTTTCTTTTTTTTTTTTTTTTTTGAGCGGAGTTTCGCTCTTGTTACCCAGGCTGGAGTGCAATGGCGCGATCTCGGCTCACCGCAACCTCCGCCTCCTGGGTTCAGACAGTTCTCCTGCCTCAGCCTCCTGAGTAGCTGGGATTACAGGCATGCACCACCATGCCCAGCTAATTTTTTGTATTTTTAATAGAGACGGGGTTTCACCATGTTGACCAGAATGGTCTCGATCTCTTGACTTCGTGATCCACCCGCCTCGGCCTCCCAAAGTGCTGGGATTACAGGCTTGAGCCACCGCGCCCGGCCGGTGGTGTTTTTCAACACTGTCAGTACTTCTCATTCCTTGTTTCGGGTCCTTATGAACAAGGAATATGCCATAATGCTTTAGATTCTTACGAGATCTCTTTAAGGGAAAAATCTCAAACATAATAACCACAGATTATTTTGTGTATGTGTGGTTTTACTCTTTCTTTCTTTTCTTTACAGACTATCTATTTAACTTTGCATCTGCCGCCACAAAAAAGATAACTGAATCAGTTGCTGAAACAGCACAAACGATAAAGAAATCCGTAGAAGAAGGAAAAATCGATGACATCATTGACAAGGTACATTCAGTTATCTTTTGGGAGTAGAAATGTATGAAATTCGTTGTTTACTCTTGATTGTTTCTTCTTCTTATGAATATTTTTTAACCTGAGTAGAATATCATATTTTGATAAAAATGTTAATTGTTGAGATTCTTGATTTTTTCCTCTCTTTATGTAACAAGTAAGCATAATATAAATTACAGTACTTTATTTAAATAACTGGTTTTTATTTTAATATATTACAAGCAATACGTTGATACTTTGGGGTTATACTAAACTTTTCATGTTTTGTGGGTTTTTTTTTATTTTTTGGTTTTTTCATTTTGAGACAGTGTCATACTCTGTCACCCAGGCTGGAGTGTAGTGCAATCTCAGCTCACTGCAACCTCTGCCTGCTGGATTCATGCAGCTCTCCTGCCTCAGCCTCCCAGGTCGCTGGGATTACAGGCATGCGCCACCACGCCTGGCCACTTTTTGTATTTTTAGTAGAGATGGGTTTTCACCATGTTGGCCAAGCTGGTCTTGAACTCCTGGCCTCAAGTGATCCACCTGCCTCACCCCTACAAAGTGCTGGGATTACAGGCATGAGCCACCATGCCTGGCCAACTTTTCATGTTATGAGTTTAACTTTATAACTGTTTGGGGATATATTTATGGCTTTGCATCATCTGACTAAGGTCTTAGCTCATTAGGAACAACCCTTTTAAGACTCTAAGGAGTGAGTTTGTTTTTTTGCAATGGGCCTATAGCATTTTGTTTATGTTGGTAAATATTCGAACTGAGGAAGTTATCAATTAAACCTTGGATGTACTGCTATTTAATTTGACTATGTATTTTTTTTAACAGACAATTATAGGAGATTTTCAGAAGGAACAGAAAAAATTTGTTGAAGAACAACATACAAAGAAGTCAGGTATGGTGTAGGTTTCTTAATTAACCTGCCAAGTTTTACTGAGCACCTGTTATGTGCTAGCTACCACACTGTGGCTCCGAGAACACAAACATGCATATGCAATGGCCCCATCCTTTGGGAAGGGCAAAGACTAGTGAGGGAGACAAACCCATAAGCTTCCATGATTTAAAGGAAGGGAGTAGATTGTTTTTGGGTGAGGCCTGCCAGTGCCGGCCTCTCTGGAGAGCTGGCTGTGAAAGAGGCAAGTGAGCTTTCAGTTCTGACTTCCTTTTTTTTTCCCCTGAGGCAGAGTCTTGCTCTGTCTCCCAGGTTGGAGTGCAGTGGCATGATCTCTGCTTACTGCAACTTCTGCCTTCTGGGTTCAAGCAATTCTGCCTTAGCCTCCCAAATAGCTGGGATTATAGGCACAAGCCACCACGCCCAGCTATTTTTTCTTTTTCTTTTTTTATTTTTAGTAGAGATGGAGTTTTACCATGTTTTCCAGGCTGGTCTGAAACTCCTGACCTCGTGATCCACCAGCCTTGGCCTCCCAAAGTGCTGGGATTACAGGTGTGAGCCACTGAGCCTGGCCTCAGTTCTGACTTTCCACCACATGCCCAGCACAGCATACAGTATGCACATGACAGCCATTTAGCAAGTGGTGGCTCCCTTCCCATCTCTTCAGGAGAAAAAATGAAAGAGCTTTCCAGGGAGGCGAGTGACCACACCTGCAATGACAGAGGGCCATAAAGAGTCACAGGTGTTTGGAGAACTTAATATATTACTGACAGGTGACTTTTTAAATTTTTGAAGTTATAAGGCCTCGGCATGCCTACTCTTACCATTTGGTAGCATCCAAACACAAAACCAGCCTTGTGTCTTTGAATTGGGCAAAAGTAGTATAACTGTAATCTCAACACTTAGGAAGACAAGGCAGGAGGATCGCTTTAGCCTGAAGTTTGAGACCAGTCTGGACAACATAGTGAGACCCTATCTCTACAAAAAAAAAAAAATTAGGCCAGGTGCAGTGGCTCACGCCTGTAATCACAGCACTTTGGAGGCCGAGGCAGGTGCATCACCTGAGGTTGGGCGTTCGAGACTAGCCTGACCAATATGGAGAAACCCCATCTCTACTAAAAATACAAAATTAGCCAAACGTGGTGACACATGCCTGTAGTCCCAGCTACTTGGGAGACTGAGACAGGAGAATCGCTTGAACCTGGGAGGCAGAGATTGTGGTGAGCTGAGATTGCACCATTGCACTCCAGCCTGCGCAACAAGAGCAAGATTCCGTCTCAAAAAAAAAAATTAGCCAGGTGGATGTGGTGGTGCACACCTGTAGTCCCAGCTACTTGGGAGGTTGAGGCAGGAGGACTGCTTGAGCTTAGGAGTTTGAGGCTGAAGTGAGCTATAATCATGCCACTGTACTCCAGCCTGGGCTACACAGTGAGACCCTGTCTCAAAAAAAAAAGTAGTAGAAAACAATTCTGTTCCAGTTGTGCCACAGTTAATCCCATGAGGAGTTTCCATCAGGCATACTTGCACCTAGGTAAACTCAACAGCATGAAGCAACTGTCTTAGACAAGTGAGGGATACAAGCTGTCATCACTTAGTGATTATTCGGAAGCAGCAAAAGTGATCCTGGCTTGGGGACCCGCTGTAGGAACTGATGCCTCTGAGACAGGAACTGTGAGGCATAGGGGTGGAAGCTTTGGCGGCAACTTCAGTTTTGAGGTGCATTAGACATCCCAGAGACGGGGACATGTAGAAAGAGGAAAGGGAACACAAGTGCGTTATCTGGGGAAAATTTCCTTCCTTTTCTTCACTTCATAATCACAGTAACTATGAAGTACTTACTGTTACCTCCCTTTTCCAGATAAGGAAACTGGCCTAGAGAGAAGATGACTAAAAAGCGTCCTTGGGGTAATTTCAGAGGAACTGGGGGTGGGGAGCATCTCCTCATACCAGTATCTTGGGCCTTAGGAGGGCCTCATCTGAGCATAAATAGCACCAGGAGAGACTACCCAAGGTGAAGAGAATTGGAATGGAGACTTAAGTGTGTGAGAAAAAATGTTTTGGGGCTTTACCCTAATTTTTTTCTTTAAAGTGTGCAAATATGTTTAGATTATCTTATCATGAATAGAATTTGAGTTATAATTGCCACCATTCCCTGGCTTGGGACAAGCCAAAGAATGAAGCATGTGCCCTATCTGGCCATCCATCTGTGTCCATCCACACATATACGTAACTTTTCTTTCAGTGGGCTTGTGATAGGATATGTCTTCCCTCTAACTTGGAGAATAATAGTAAAGGGATTATTTCTGCCAAAATATTCCAAGACAGCAAAGCATTCGCTCTCCCAAGGGCCTGCCTTAATTGCCACTTTGGTTTTCAAATCATTCTTTTTTTTTTTTTTGAAACAGAGTCTCTCTCTCTGTCACCCAATCTGCTGGAGTACAGTGGCCTTCTCGGCTCACTGCAACCTCTGCCTCCCAGGTTCAAGTGATTCTCCTGCTTCAGCCTCCCGAGTAGCTGGGATCAAATCATTCTCTTTTAAAGGACTCGCTGGGTAACCAGCCTTGTGTTTCCTTCAGGCATAGGCGCCCTAACTGCCAGGTCTTCCTTATTGTTTGCTTTGTGGTGATGCAGGCCACTCTCCCATGTCACTTTATTTTGACTTCCTGAAACACCATGTGTTTTGCAAGATTTGCCTTTTCACTTTGTGTTGCAAGACCAGTGGGGCTAGAATCTAGTGTTACGGCATCAGGGGCGATTGAGTGGCTTATGAATTAGTCCACACTTTATGACTCCTGCTTTCCATTCTAATCTTGCCACTGGGGGCTGCGGAATGAGGCTATTAAGGGCCCCCTGCCTCTGTGTCTTCCGTGCCGATCTCCCTGCTCCACGCTGCTCACGTGGGAGAGATCCTCAGATGAGCTTGCTTTGTCTTTGTTTCCACTCTGAACACCCCCACCCCCATCCGCCACTGACCTCTTCCTTGTCCAAGATTGGGCTCCTGGGTCACCAGAAAATCTTGTAGGTCTTACCTCTCTAGAAGGTTGTCATTTGTCACCTGGCACAGCATTTACAGTGCTGAATTCTAATCACCTCTATCTTGTGAGTCTCAGAAAACATGGGCTAGATCTTGGCATTCCCAGCATTTAGCTGCTGGTGGCTCACTGAGGATTTGATTCCAGCCCTTTTGTTTACTGCCTCCCACTTGTCCATTTCTTTCATTTTTTTTTGTTAGCTCCTGAAAACCCTCTTCTTATTCCTAATCACCTGTCTTACAACATCACCTTTTGTCATGAATCAAATATAGTAACTTTCTTTTTTAACTCCAGAAAAAGCTTACTCATTTTTCTTTTCTTTCTTTTTTTTTTTTGAGATGGAGTTTCACTCTTGTTACCCAGACTGGAGTGCAATGGCACGATCTTGGCTCACCGCAGCCTCCACCTCCCAGGTTCAAGCAATTCTCCTGCCTCAGCCTACCGAGTAGCTGGGACTACAGGCGCGCACCACCATGCCCAGCTAATTTTTGTATTTTTAGTAGAGACAGGGTTTCACCTTGTTGACCAGGATGGTCTCGATCTCTTGACCTTGTGAGCCACCGCACCTGGCCTTTTCTTTGATCTTTTAAAGTAACTTTCTAAAAATCTTTTTTTTTTTTTGTTTTTGAGACAGAGTCTCACTCTGTCGCCAGGTGACAGGCTGGAGTGCAGTGGCACAATCTCGGCTTACTGCAACCTCCACCTCCTGGGTTCAAGCAATTCTCCTGCCTCAGCCTCCTGAGTAGCTGGGACTACAGGCGCACACCACCAAGCCCAGCTAATTTTTTTTATATTTTTAGTAGAGACAGAGTTTCACCATGTTGGCCAAGGATGGTCTTGATCTCTTGACCTCATGATCCACCAGCCTTGGCCTCCCAAAGTGCTGGGATTATAGGCTTGAGCCACCATGCCCAGCCTAAAAATCTTTTTATTTGGAAAAAATTTCAACTTACAGAAGAGTCACAAGAATAAAAAGAATATAGAGAACACCCATATACTAGTACCTAGATTGCTCTGGTTTTATTCTGTTTGCCTTATCATTCTCTCCTTCTCTCCAGTTCTTAATGTCTGTGTGTGTGCCCTTTTTTTCTTTTGCTTTTCTTTTTTTTGAGACAAAATTTCGCTCTTGTTACCCAGAGTGGAGTGCAATGGCGCGATCTCGGCTCACCGCAACCTCCGCCTCCTGGGTTCAGGCAATTCTCCTGCCTCAGCCTCCTGAGTAGCTGGGATTACAGGCACACGCCACCATGCCCAGCTAATTTTTTGTATTTTTAGTAGAGACGGGGTTTCACCATGTTGACCAGGATGGTCTCGATCTCTTGACCTTGTGATCCACCCGTCTCGGCCTCCCAAAGTCCTGGGATTACAGGCTTGAGCCACCGCGCCCGGCTATTCTTTTGCTTTTCTTTTCTTTTTTTTGAGATGGAGTTTTGCTGTTGTTTCCCAGGCTGGAATGTAATGGTGTGATCTCGGCTCACCACAACCTCCACCTCCTGGGTTGAAGTGATTCTCATGCCTCAACCTCCCGAGTAGCTGGGATTACAGAAGCATCCCACCACCCTCTGCTAATTTTTGTATTTTTAGTAGCGACAGGGCTTTGCCATGTTGACGAGGCTGGCCTCGAACTTCTGACTTCAGGTGATCTGCCTGCCTCGGCCTCCCAAAGTGCTGGGATTACAGGCATGAGCTGCCATACCCAGCCGACCTTTTCTTGTTGTGTACACAAATGTTCAGTACACATTTGCTAAAAATTAGCGATATTCTCTTTCATAATCGTAGTATAGTTACTGCATTAGGAAATTCACATTGATGCAATACTTTACTGTTCATCAGTTAATTTTGTTAGTTGACCTCATAATGTCCTTTATAACATTTTTCCCCTCAGTATAGGATCCAATTGAGGATAAGGTATTGTATTCTTTGTCTCTCTTAGCCTTCTTTAATCTGGAACATTCCAACAACTTTTCTTTGTCTTTTATGATATTAATGTTTTTGAAGAATACTGCTCTTCATTTTTTTAATAGATTCTTCCTCATTCAGGCTTTAGCTGATATTTTCTCATGACTAGATTCAGATTATGGATTTTTGGCCAGAATATTACATAGGTGATGATGTGTCCTTCCCGAGATAGCACATCTGGAGGCCCACAATATTCATCTCTCCCTCATTGGTGATGTTGATTTTGATCACTTGATTAAACTGTGGTCCAGTTTCTCTACTGTATCATTTAAGTAGAGTGTTTTTGTTTTTTGTTTTTGGAGACACGGTCTCACTCTGTCACCCAGGCTGAAATGCAGTGGCACAATCACAGCTCACTACAGCCTCAACTCCTGGGTTCAGGTGATCCCCCCACCTCAGCCTCCCAAGTAACTGGGACTGCAGGCATGAGCCACAATGTCTGGCTAAGTTTTGTATGTTTTTTGTAGAGACAGGGTTTCATCATGTTACCCAAGCTGCTCTCTAACTCCTGGGCTCAAGTAATCTATCCACCTCAGCCTCCCAAAATGCTGGGATTACAAGTGTGAGCCACCATGCTGGCCTCAAGTAGAGTTATTTTTTTACCAAATGCATATATGCATACAACCCATAAGAATAAGTCTGGTAATTAGGGTTAATGTTCGTATTTGGAACTTACTGGTAAACTGCCATTTCTAGTGGTCATGCAGAAACTTCCATGCTTTGACATCATAAATTGCAGCGTAACCATCGCGACCTATTTTTTTCTCTTTTTTTCTTTGCCATTAAAAACTATAGAAGCAGCTGTGCCCCCATGGGTTGACACTAATGATGAAGAAACAATTCAACAACAGATTTTGGCCTTATCAGCTGTAAGTACCTTGTGGTACCCCAGATAGATCATACTTTCTTTTGTTTTTTTTGAGACAGAGTCTTGCTCTGTCACCCAGGATGGAGTGCAATGGTGCAATCTCAGCTCACTGCAACGTCTGCCTCCCGGGTTCAAGAAATTCTCCTGCCTCAGCCTCCAGAGTAGCTGGTATTACAGGCATGCACTACCACACCCGGCTAATTTTTGTGTTTTTAGCAGAGACAGGGTTTCACCATGTTGGCGAGGCTGGTCACGAGCTCCTGACCTTAAGCAATCCACCCACCCACCTTGGTCTCCCAAAGTGCTGGGATTACAGGGGTGAGCTACTACGCCCAGCCAAAATTTTTAATTTAATGTTTTGTTTTGTTTTTGTTTTGAGAGAAATAGTCTCAGCCAGGTGCAGTGGCTCACGCCTATAATTCCAGCAGTTTGGGAGGCCAAGGCAGGCGGATCACTTGAGGTCAGGAGTTTGAGACCAGCCTGGCCAACAGGGTGAAATCCTGTCTCCACTAAATATACAAAAATTAGTCAGGCATGGTAGGGCATGCCTGTAATCCCAGCTACTTGGGAGGCTGAGGCAGGAGAATTGCTTGAACCCAGGGGTCAGAGGTTGCAGTGAGCTGAGATTGCACCACTGCACTCCAGCTTGGACGACAGAGCAAGACTCCATCCCAAAACAAAAATAAAATTAAAAAAAAAAACAACATTGTTATGTATTAATTGCATTTTTTGGAATGCCTTGTGTTTTTTTCTTTTTTTTTTTTTTTTGTCAAAGGACAAGAGGAATTTCCTTCGTGACCCTCCAGCTGGCGTGCAATTTAATTTCGACTTTGATCAGATGTACCCCGTGGCCCTGGTCATGCTCCAGGAGGATGAACTGCTGAGCAGGATGAGATTCGCCCTGGTTCCTAAACTGTAAGCGGGGTGTTCTCCAGCATTTCCTCATTTATGCGCTCGGAATCACCACGTAACCATGGAAGGGGCCGGAAGGGGCCCGAAGGGTCTCTATCTGTTCATAAAAGCAGGCCCTGCGAACCTTCAACAGCTCCCCTGGTCAGGGCACCTAGAACCAAAACCAAGGGCTGACTTGACAGGAAACACAGAGTGGAGATGAAGTGTGCTTTTCTACCCCAGTTACAAGGTAGAACACCTTTCCCTACAGAAACCACAAACATGCTGCATCACCCTGAATCACATTCAGGTCTCTGGGGCTCATCAGGATCCTTTTCCCAAGCTGACTGCATTTTCCATTCAGGCTCTGCCCTCCCTCGGCAGTGTTTCTGCTCTCTTTTCCAAGGCTTTTCCTCTGAAGGCCCCTCTGTGCTCCACAAATCCCAGTTTGTCCTGTAGGCTCCGGCGCATGCACGATGCATTCTGGGAGCCTTCCCTGGTACTGCAGCCAGCAGGGGCTGCTTTCCCTGCTGCTGCCTCCCTTGAATATTCTGTCTCAAGCTCTTCCGTGCCTCTTCTAGTCCAGTCCCTTGTATTGAAGCTGTTGCATATTTGAAGTCTGCGTTCTTTCTGATTCGGTTCCCTTTCTCTTAACGTTGTCATATGGGTGTGATGTTTTACTGTTCTCTGAGGACGTGAGTTACATTTCTCTTGAAAGACTCCCTTTTTCAGCCAGGTGTGGTGGCCAATGCCTGTAATCTCAACACTTGGGGAGGCTGAGGCGGGAGGATTGTGTGAGGACGAGTTTGAGACCAGCCTGGGCAACATAGTAAGACCACCATCTTTACAAAAAAATAAAAAATTAGCCAGGCATGGTGGTACACACCTGTAGTCCCAGCTACTCAGGAAGCTAAGGTGAGAGGATTACCTGAGCCTGGGAGGTTGACGCTGCAGTAAGCCACGATCATGCCACTGGCATTCCAGCCTGGGTTCAAATGATTCTCCTGCCTCAGCCTCTCAAGTAGCTGGGACTACTGGCACATGCCACCATATCCGGCTAATTTTTATATTTTTTGCAGAGATGTGATTTCATTATATTGCCCAGGCTGGTCTCAAACTCCTGATCTTGCATTCCTCCTGCCTTGGCCTCGCAAAGCACTCGGATTACAGATGTAGGCCATGATGCCTGGCCCATTTTGTTTTTATTTATTTTTGTTTTTTTGTATTCAACCCTCAAGATTTTTATTTAGTTGCTCTGAAGTGAGCACAGTTATCAATGGATTATTTTTGCTATTATTCTGAAACACAAACTTACAGAAAAATTGAAGGTACAATATAAAGAACTTTCCTCCAAATCACTTGAAACCTTGATGTCCCATCACTCCCAAATGCTATAGTGTTATACAAGCATTCTACATGACCACAGTGTGCCCATCCAAATCAGCAAATGATCATTGCCACATTATTACCATCTCATTCTCAGGCCCTATTGAGGTTTTTCCATTCATCCCAATAATGTCCTTTTTAGCAAAAGAGCCCAGTTCACACTCACAGGTTACATTTGGTTTTCATGTCTCGTCAGTCTCCTTCTATCTGTTGCAGGCTGTGTGGTGGCACATGCAGCCATTTGTCCCATAACTGTTCATACTTGGGTCATTTGATGAAGGTGGTGTTTGCCAGGTTTCTTGACTGTAAAGTTACTCTTTTCCTCTTTGAACGTAATTAGAATTTTGCTGGGAAATACTTTGAAACTGAATATTCTGTTCATCAGACTTTCCATGTATTCATGTATTTATATTTGTATAGACTCATACAGTGGGTTATAATCTGATGCTATTGTTTATTTTAATGCTGAAATTATTACCAATTTGAGGCCAGGCGTGGTGGCTCATACCTGTAATCCCAGCACTTTAGGAGGCTGAGTTGGGAGGATCACTTGAGCCCAGGAGTTCAAGACTAACCTGGTCAACATGGTGAAACCTCATCTCTATAAAAAGTCAGGCGAGCATGGTGGACTGTGCCTATAGTCTCAGCTACTTGGGAGGCTGACGCAGAAGATCACCTGGGCCGGGGAGGTCGAGGCTACAGTGAACCATGTTAACGCCACTGCACTCTGGCCTGGGTGACAGAGTGAGACCCTGTCTCAAAAAAAAAAAAAAATAGACCGGGCACAGTGGCTCAAGCCTGTAATCCCAGCACTTTGAGAGGCTGAGGCGGGTGGATCACGAGGTCAAGAGATCGAGACCATCCTGGTCAACATGGTGAAACCCCGTCTCTACTAAAAATATAAAAAATTAGCTGGGCACAGTAGCACGTGCCTGTAATCCCAGCTACTCAGGAGGCTGAGGCAGGAGAATTGCCTGAACCCAGGAGGCAGAGGTTGCGGTGAGCCGAGATTGTGCCATTGCACTCCAGCCTGGGTAACGAGCGAAACTCAGTCTCAAAAAAAAAAAAAACAACATATATATATATATATTACCAGTTTGGCCAGTGGGAGACTCTTCCAGCTGACTTGTGTCTTTCTAACTCATCCCCATCATTTCTTCATTTCTTAGCGCATTTCCTTGCTCTCTGGCACAAGATAAGTGTTCTTTCCCCGCTCTAACCCTGGAATCAGCCTTTTTTTTTTTTTTTTTTTTTGAGATGGAGTCTTTGTTTTTTGCCCAGGCTGGAGTGCAGTGGTGCGATCTCAGCTCACTGCAATCTCCACCTCCCAGGTTCAAGCAACTCTCCTGCCTCATCCTCCTGAGTAGCTGGGACTACAGGTGCACACTGCCATGCCTGACTAATTTTTTATATTTTAGTAGAGATAGAGACAGGGTTTCACCGTATTGCCCAGGCTGGTTTTGAACTCCTGAGCTCAGGCAATCCACCCACCTCGGCCTCCCAAAGTTCTGGGATTAAAGGCGTGAGCCACTGCACCCAGCTGGAATCAGTCATTTATCCAGGGAGTTCTGGATCCTTTTAGTGGAAAATCTAAATTTGGTATTTAGAAAGCAAGATCTTGGTGCTAGGTATGCTCATTGGCATTTGGGTGCCACTGCTCTGCATCCTGTCAGTGGACACAGCCAGGCAATGTGTGTGTGCTCATTTGTGTCTGTGGAATAAAAACCATGTGTTTATGGTGCTACCTCATGACAGGCGTCATTCTCATTTTCTCCCTTTCCATGTTTGTAACTCTCCTCTCTGGTGGTGAGAAACCTGGTTTCCACTATCTTTAATATTTTTACTTATTCCCCATGCACGTACCAATCTGTCATTTTTGCTTCCACTCACTCCTCTGCTCAGACACCCTTCTCTCCCTGCTTGGTTCTCACTCTCCATTCCAGGCCACCCCTGTGTGGACACTTACCTGATCCACTTGGGCACCAACACATCACAGCGGGTGATTCTCATAGGTAGCAAGTTTGAGAAGCACCAAGAGTTTTCAGGTTGAACTGCACTTCAATCTGTTTATCAAGCATTTCCCACTTATTGCTAACGCTTACTGGTTACAGATTATTCGCAAGCTGCCAAACACTCTCTTTCATAAGGAACAACAGCCGCAATGCTTTCTTCTCACTGCTGGAAAGCATTTAATCCTCTGAGAAACAGCAAGTGATTGGTGGAGTCCTGGTCTCCCGGGTTGACTGTGCTAGTTTCACAGCAATGCCCTGTTTTCTTCTACTGAGGGCAGTATTGGTACCATTAAGATACCAAGAAATGCTGAGGTTTCATTGCCATTCTGTAACTTGTATTTTGCTGCTATGGGGAAGATAGCTGTTATGTTTATCCTGTTGTTTAGCTTTCAATTCTAAAGTGAATATGGGCTGGGCACCGCAGCTCATGGCTGTAATTCCAGCACTATGGGAAGCTGAGGCAGGCGAGACACCTGAGCTCAGGAGTTCGAGACCAGCCTGGCCAACATGATGAAACCCCATCTCTACTAAAAATACAAAAATTAGCTGGGCATGGTGGCAGGTACCTATAATCCCAGCTACTCGGGAGGCTGAGGCAGAATTGCTTGAACCTGGGAGGCGAAGGTTGCAGTGAGCTGAGATCACGCCACTGCACTCCAGCCTGGCAACAGAGCAAGACTCCATTTAAAAAAAAAAAAAAAAAACCCATGTCTACTAAAAATACAAATTCAAAAATTAGCCAGGTGTGGTAGTGGGCACCTGTAATCCTACCCACTCAGGAGGCTGAGGCACGAGACTCACTAGAACCCAGGAGGCAGAGGTTCAGTGAGCTGAGAATGTGCTCACTGCACTCCAGCCTGAGCAACAGAGTGAGATTCTATCTCAAAAAATTAAAAAAAAATTTTTTAAACCAATACAAACTCCCTCTGAACCTCACTCAGCTTTGAAAGTGCTCCTACAAATCATCTACTCCAGTCCCCTCTACGACAAATAACCCCTGCATGCACTTGTCTGTGTGCATTCTCAAATGTGTTCTTGTCTGTCCGCTTTTATTCATTTTTAATTTTGCCTTTTTCCACATGCTGTCTTTTTGTTTGTTAACCAAGCTTTGGTTCTGTCTTTCTTTAAAAGTGTGAAGGAAGAAGTGTTCTGGAGGAACTACTTTTACCGCGTCTCCCTGATTAAGCAGTCAGCCCAGCTCACAGCCCTCGCTGCACAACAGCAGGCCGCAGGGAAGGAGGAGAAGAGCAATGGCAGAGAGCAGGATTTGCCACTGACAGGTACATTCCGGGTAGAAGACAGCACTCTACAGAAAAAGCTATTCTTAGAGGCTCAAATGAGCTTGACCTCTTATACGTACCGGAAATGTCATTGTCTTAGGGAAAAATTCTTCTCCTCCCAGAAGAATCTTCATTTCTCTTCCTGCCTTCTCTCTGACCCAACTCACACATGTCTTCCCCAAGCTTTCCTTTACTTTGCTTATATCTCCTTTCTCATTCCTTGTTTTTATTTTTAGACACAGGTCTCACTATGTTGCCCAGGCTGTCCTTAAACTCCTAGACTCAAGTGATCCTCCTGCCTCAGCTTCTCGAGTAGCTGGGACTTAACAGGCATAAGCCATTGTGCCTGGCGAGTTTTTTCTTTTTATCTCTCTTTCAAACATCCATCATCTTCCCCACCTCTCATTGTTGGCCCTTAACCATGTGACTGTTTACACTCTGTCCTCTGCTCTGATTCAGTCCGCCTCCTTTTTGTTTGTTTCAAGCTGATATTTCTTCAGTGTGTATAGTCTGTAGAGCAGAACGAAGCACCATTCCACTGCAAGTTACAAGGATCTGTCTAGTTCTGAGCTACACACTGATGAACACTGGACTCATTGTGACACTAACTTACTCCTGGTTGTGGGGAATGTGTTTTACACTAATGGCAGCTGTTTGAAATCTGTAATGATAATTAAAACAAGAAACACATTTTGTGTTATATTTTAAATTTGTAGTGAGTATCTGCTGTGTATAACGGGTACTCATTACAACTGGACATTTATCCCATAAGAAGGGGGCTGATTTAATTCATGGAAATTTTTTTCTTTTTTATGAGATGGAGTCTCACTCTGTCACCCAGGCTGGAGTGCAGTGGCTCCATCTCGGCTCACTGCAACCTCTGCCTCCCGGGTTCAAGCAATTCTCTACCTCAGCCTCCCGAGTAGCTGGGACTACAGGCACCTGCCACCATGTCCAGCTAATTTTTGTATTTTTAGTAGAGGCAGGGTTTCAGCGTGTTGGCCACGCTGGTCTGGAACTCCTGACCTTGTGATACACCCATGTTGGCCTCCCAAAGTGCTGGGATTACAGGTATGAGCCACCACACCCAGCCTAATTAATGGAATTTTAAATGATTAAGCAAAACAACATGTCCCGTGGTACAGATTATACAGAATACTAGGACAGGCTCTGACACTGCTCTTACTGTCAGGGAAATGGAGTGAAATTGCTCTACACAGGAAAATTCATCTTTTTTTTTTTTTTTTTTTTTGAGACAGAGTTTTGCTGTTGTTACCCAGGCTGGAGTGCGATGGCGTGATCTCTGCTCAACGCAACCTCCGCCTCCTGAGTTCAAGCAATTCTCCTGCCTCAGCCTCCCGAGTAGCTGGGACTACAGGCGCGCACCACCATGCCCAGCTAATTTTTGTATTTTTAGTAGAGACGGGGTTTCACCTTGTTGACCAGGATGGTCTCCATCTGTTGACCTCGTGATCCACCCGCCTCGGCCTCCCAAAGTGCTGGGATTACAGGCGTGAGCCACGGCACTGGGCCTGAAAATTCGTCATTTTATGTGTCAATGTTAACATGCATTCCAATTGTCTGTCATTCTTTAGCTTATGTTAATTTTGTTTGAAAATGACATTTTACCAAATACTGCCTCATTTAACAAAGTGGACAGTATTCCATAAAGACTGCCTTTTTCTAGCACTCATGTCAGCAGGCAAACTTGATAAATAACTTAATTCTCATTATCCTAAAAAAGTACTGAACTATTCTTCAGTGAATTTTCCTAACACTGAAGTCCTGCTGACAGTTTTATATAAGGAGTATTGAATATGATGACATGTTAAAAATATCCCCAGGAGGCTGAGGCAGGAGGATCACTTGAGCCCAGAAGTTCAGGTCCAGCCTGGACAACATAGTGACACCCCATGTCTAAAAATAGAGAGATAGATAGGTAGATAGATAGATAAAAATAGCCCCAAAATAGGAGATTGAGATGGGTTCACCCTGGCTGTTTCTTATAACTTAAGAAAAGCTGAAAGCATAACTTAAAAATTTACTTCTGAAAATTATTTAGTATCAAAATACTTGTGGATATTTTACTGTGATTATAACATGTATTCAGAACTGAACCAAGCAATTATTGTCTCTCTTATTCTCACTTCTTAGAGGCAGTACGGCCCAAAACGCCACCCGTTGTAATCAAATCTCAGCTTAAAACTCAAGAGGTAATACAGTTTTGCATTGTACCTAGTAGTTGATATCTGGAAATAAAGTAACTGTGTTAACTATTTCTGATACCATTTAAAACTATGTATCAATATGGGTTTGGAAGAAGCAGCATCTGGTACGTGAGTAGTCAGGGAACTATGGCTGAGACTTGAGGGCAATTTACTGGCATGTGTAATTCTCGATGTGCTCATCAGGAATTGGAAAGAACGTTGGAGTGATTCAAGCTGTGAGAATAATAGCCTCAGGTGGTAGGTAATTCATGTGGTTACCAAGCAACTGCAAGTTAAGAAGGTTGGAGAGCAGTGCTCATTGTCTTTCGGCTCACAGAGAAAAGAAATGAAAATAGTACTGCAGTAAATTGTCAGACAATCAAAAACCAGAATAACACAGATGTCACTTAGCAAACCATTTCAAGAGCTCATTTGTTGCATTTCAGGATGAGGAAGACATTTCTACTAGCCCAGGTGTTTCTGAGTTTGTCAGTGATGCCTTTGATGCCTGTAACCTAAATCAGGAAGATCTGAGGAAAGAAATGGAGCAACTAGTGCTTGACAAAAAGCAAGAGGAGACAGCCATATTGGAAGGTAAAAAACAAAACAAATCAAAGCAAAGAAACCATTTGCCTTCCTAATTCCAAAGCTGATTGTAGAAAATTGTTATCCTGAAGCCAGTGTACAAAAATATGTTGTAAATTTTGCATCAAAATTGATTCTTGCCGGGCGCAGTGGCTCACGCCTGTAATCCCAGCACTTTGGGGTGCCGAGGCAGGTGGATTGCTTAAGGTCAGGAGTTTGAGACCAGCATGGCCAACACAGCGAAACCCTGTCTCTACCAAAAATACAAAAATTAGCTGGGCATGGTGGCGTGGGCCCATGAGCCCAGCTATTTGGGAGGCTGAGGTAAGAGGATGGCTTGAGCCCAGGAGGTCCAGGTTGCAGTGAGCCATGATCACACTACTGCATTACAGCCCATTACAGGGTCTTGGGAGACAGCAAGACCCTGTCTCAAATAAATGAATAAATAAAATTGATTTTCTGTTTTCTACTAGAAGGTGGAGTCTAACAAACAAGATCAGACCTCACCCATGTCCCTCTGCCCTAAGCACTCACAAAAGCAGATCAAAGGGTTTGGGAGTCTAGTGTGACTGTAGAGCTCCTCTGGTAAAACCCCCAATATAAAGGGGAAAACCTGAGACTCAGAGGTGAAGCAATTCACCTAGGGCATCTCAGCCCCAAGGACATGTGATCAGGAATGGGGCAAGAGCATGTACCCCTGGGCACATGGAGATGCTGCCCTCCAGCTTTCTGCTTTAAAAGTTGGCATTTTGCTGGTATGTTGTCACGTGCCTATAGTTGCAGCTATTCAGGAGGCTGAGGCAGGAGGATCACTTGAACCCAGGACTTTTTTTTTTTTTTTTTTTTTTTAATTTGAGGCAGAGTCTTGCTCTGTAGCCCAGGCTGGAGTGCAATGACACGATCTCGGCTCACCACAGCCTCCGCCTACCGGGTTCAAACGATTCTCCTGCCTCAGCCTCGTGAGTGGCTGGGATTACGGGCGTACACCACCACACCTGGCTAATTTTTGTATTTTTACTAGAGATGGGGTTTCAGACCAAGCTGATCTTAAACTCCTGACTTCAGGTGATCCACCCGCCTTGGCCTCCCAAAGTGCTGGGATTACAAGAGTGAGCCACAGCTCCCGGCTGAGCCCAGGACTTTAAGGCTACAGTAAGCTATGGTCATACCACTGCACTCTAGACTGGGACACAGAACAAAACCTTGTCTCTAAAAAAATTAATAAAATAAATTTTTGGCCTCAGTGCAGTGGCTCACTCCTATAATCCCAGCTACTTGGGAGGAGGCTGAGGCAGGACAGTCGCTTGAACCCAGGAGGCAGAGGTTGCAGTGAGCTGAGATCGCGCCACTACACTCTAGCCTGGGTGACAGCAACACTCCGTCTCAAAATAATAATAATAAATTTTAAAAAGCTGGCATCCTGCTAAGTTGTAGACATGTACATGGAAGATTCTTCTCCCAGCTGCTGCATGCTAAAAGATCATCACTTCTGGGAAGGAGCAGGCTGCTTTTAAAAACAGTTTTCTGGTTGGGCGCAGTGGCTCACGCCTGTAATCCTAGCATTTTTGGTGGCCAAGGTGGGCAGATCACAAGGTCAGGAGTTTGAGACCAGCCTGGCCAATATGGTGAAACCCCATCTCTACTAAAAATACAAAAAAAAAAAAAAAAAGAATTAGCCAGGCGTGGTGGCACATGCCTATAGTCTCAGCTTTTCAGGAGGCTGAAGCAGGAGAATCGCTTGAACCTAGGAGGCAGAGGTTGCAGTGAGCCAAGGTTACACCACTGCACTCCAGCCTAGGCAACACAGCAAGACTCCATCTCAAAAAAAAAAAACAGTTTTCTTTTTGATAGAATCTCACCCTGTCACCCAGGCTGAAATGCAATAGTGCTAGCATAGCTCACTGCAGCCTCAAACTCCTAGGCTCACACTATCTTCCCACCTCAGCCTCCACCGTACCTGGGAGGGACTACAGACACATGCCACAACACCAGGCTAATTTTTTTAATTTTTTGTAGAGATGGAGTCTTGCTATATTACCCAGGCTGATCTCTAACTTCGGGGCTCGTGCAATCCTCCCACCTTGGTGTCTCCTAAGTGCTAGTATGACAGGCATGTGCCACCACCCCCAGCCCAACAGTCTTTTTTTTTTTTTTTTTTAAGATGGAGTCTCACTCTGTCGCCCAAGCAGGAATGTGGTGGCACAGTCGTGGCTCACTGCAACCTCCACCTCCCGGGTTCAAGTGATTCTCATGCCTCAGCCTCCCAGATAGCCGGGATTACAGGCATGAGCCACTATGCCTGGCTAATTTTGTATTTTTAGTAGAGATAGGGTTTCTCCATGATGGTCAAGCTGATCTCGATCTCCTGACCCCAGGTGATCCACCCATCTCAGCCACCACACCCGCCCTAAGGTTTATTTTTATTTTTATTTTTATTTTTTTTGAGACGGAGTTTCACTGTTGTTACCCAGACTGGAGTGCAATGGCACGATCTCGGCTCACCACAACCTCCGCCTTCTGAGTTCAAGCAATTCTCCTGCCTCAGCCTCCCGAGTAGCCGGGACTACAGGCGCGCACCACCATGCCCAGCTAATTTTTGTATTTTTAGTAGAGACAGTGTTTCACCATGTTGACCAGGATGGTCTCGATCTCTTGACCTCGTGATCCACCCGCCTCAGCCTCCCAAAGTGCCGGGATTATAGGTGTGAGCCACAGCACCCGGCCCCTAAGGTTTATTTTTGAAAGACAGGCCGGGGTAGCTCACACCGGTAATCCTAGCACTTTGGGAGGCCAAGGCGGGGAGATCATGATGTCAGGAATTCAAGACCAGCTTGGCCAACATGGTGAAACCCCATCTCTACTAAACATACAAAAATTAGTGAGGCGTGGTGCTGGGCGCCTGTAATCACAGCTACTCAGGAGGCCGAGGTGGGAGAATCACTTGAACCCGGGAGGTGGAGGTTGCAGTGAGCCAAGACCGCACCATTGCACTCCAGTCTGGGTGACAGAGTAAGACTTGGTCTCAAAAAAAAAGAGACAAAAAGTGAATCTTAGCTTTACTTTTTAAATAGTTTGTTTTCTCACCATTTTATAACATGACATAGCAGATGCATTATCCTACACACACACAGGTATACTGAGTGTCCAGGCGGAAAGTTGCAGCTCTAAATCTCAACACAGAAGACCAGTGTGAGAGCTTCAGCCAGAACACCATGAGAGAGCCCACACTGACTTCAGACCCCGGTGTCTGTCTCCACTCTTAAGAAGACAGAATCTTTGTCTGCATAGTGGTTAAGCATAGACTGTGGAGCCTGCAGATGTGGTTTCATCCTTCTATCTGTCGCTGTCAAATGTTGTGATCTTGGACAAGTTGCTTAAACTCTCCTAAGCCTCTATTTCCCCATCTGTAAGATGTGGCTAATAGTAGTACCTTGTCCATGGACTGTCTAAGGATAAAAAGCCTGATACATAGAAAGCAGTTAGGCCAGTGCCGAGCTCGGTAAGTGCTCAATAAACGTTAGCTGCTTTCGCTACCATCAATTATCCATTTAAAGAAAAAGAAGAGGCATAGGGAAAGCAAAATAACACCCAAAATATATTGATGACATCTGATACCTTTGCTTCTATATTATGTTAAAAAAGATTTATCTTTCTAATTGTATTTATACTTGGTCATTGTTAAAATTTAATGACTTTTTATGAGCACGCACAGTAATGAAGCCTGAGATGTTAAAAATTAAGGCAGCTAGGACTTTACATAGGTATTTGAGATGGACCGAATTGTGAACCCCAACATCATGAGTTCAGAGAAAATATTTTTCTTCTCCTTTGTCTCTTTTAGAGGATTCTGCAGATTGGGAAAAAGAACTGCAGCAGGAACTTCAAGAATATGAAGTGGTGACAGAATCAGAAAAACGAGATGAAAACTGGGATAAGGAAATAGAGAAAATGCTTCAAGAGGAAAATTAGCTGTTTCTGAAAGAGAAGAATAATCCTTAACAGTCTCCAAACTGACATTAAATTCTAGATGTTGACACTTACTGAATCAGAAGGTATAAAAGAGTATAACTTTATGAAATTCAAATTTTTCCTTTTTTCAAGTGGAAACTTGCCTCTTCTACTTTAAAAAAGTATATAGAGGGCCAGGTGCAGTGGCTCAAGCCTGTAATCCCAGCACTTTGGGAGGCTGAGGCGGGTGGATCACGAGGTCAAGAGATCCAGACCATCCTGGTCAACATGGTGAAACCCCGTCTCTACTAAAAATATAAAAAATTAGCTGGGCATGGTGGCACGTGCCTGTAATCCCAGCTACTCAGGAGGCTGAGGCAGGAGAATTGCCTGAACCCAGGAGGCGGAGGTTGCGGTGAGCCAAGATCGCGCCATTGCACTCCAGCCTGGGTAACAAGAGCGAAACTCCGTCTCAAAAAAAAAAGTATATAGAACAGTTACTTCTAATAAACAGAAAGATGTTTTGTAGAACATTTCTTTAATATGAATCAAGTTAGAGATGGCTTTGTAGGCAGTATGGCTATCTTTGCCACAGAAACATAAGCAAAATTTTAAGAGTTCTGTTTTCCATGAGGTCAAAAATATAATTTATTCCTCAGTCGTGATTTTCTAAGTATCTGTACTCTGCATTCCATTTTCCTTGATAGGTGGGTGTTAAAGCACATACTTAATGGGTTGATTACTATCAAAATGACCAAATTATACCAAAGAACTTAAGAGGAAGCACTTTTAGAACTATTCGCTTGTCAGGTATTTTCTAAAATTCCACCTGAAAGCCGAAATATATAATAAATAAGTTGATTTTAATGATATAAACACCACACAATTTGACATTAAGAAATACAGTGCAGCCCAGGCATGGTGGCTCAACACTTGTAATCCCAACACTTTGGGAGGCTGAGGTGGGCAAATCACCTGAGGTCAGGAGTTCAAGACCAGCCTGGCCAACATAGTGAAACCCCAGCTCTACTAAAAATACAAAAAGTAGCTGGGCCTGGTGGCAGGCACCTATAATCCCAGCTACTAGGGAGGCCGAGGCAGGAGAATCTTGAAGCTGTGAGGCGGAAGTTGCAGTGAGCCGAGATCATGCCACTACACTCCAGCCTGGGCAACAGACTGAGACTCAATCTCAAAAAAAAAACAAAAAACTGCAAAACATTTGTTTTTCTCTGGGGCCTTTTCTTTCTTTCTTTTCTTTTTAAACTATACCAGAAATTTTACATCAGAGTTTTTATACAAAGTAGGACCTTCCATCCTTTTGTATTATAATAACCTTCAGAAGCCCATTCCCCTTAAAGTCTGTTGTTCTTGTTTGAATCATCACCACATGTAAATGTTTTAGCTTTATCTTAAACTGTGAGTCTTCATAAAATTGTATTCCTCCAAGTTCACCTTCTAGAACTTTATTGATTAATCCTACTGTATTCTGCTACACATGTTCATAGAATATGATTTTTTCTTTTCTTTTTTTTTTTTTTTTTTTTGAGACGGAGTTTCGCTGTTGTTACCCAGGCTGGAGTGCAATGGCACGATCTCGGCTCACCGCAACCTCCACCTCCTGGATTCAAGCAATTCTCTTCCCTCAGCCTCCCGAGTAGCTGGGACTACAGGTGCACACCACCATGCCCAGCTAATTTTTGTATTTTTAGTAGAGACGGGGTTTCACCTTGTTGACCAGGATGGTCTCGATCTCTTGACCTCATGATCCACCCGCCTCGGCCTCCCAAAGTGCTGGGATTATAGGCGTGAGCCATCGCGCCGGGCCCAAATGTACTAAAATTCTTATTGAAAAATGTTGAATAGGGCCGGGCGTGGTGGCTCACGCCTGTTATCCAAGCATTTTGGAGGCCAAGGCGGGCAGATCACCTGAGGTCAGGAGTTCAAGACCAGCCTGACCAACTTGGCGAAACCTTGTTTTAAAATAAATAAATAAATAAAATGTTGAAAAAAACACACAGAAAAGTATCAGAGAAAGAGAAAAACCCTAAAATGACAGTAGAGGTGTGTGACAGTTATTGCTTTCAATTTTACATAATATTGCATTACAAACAACTTAATTATTCATTGCTCTGTGAAAATAAAAGGATAAAATAAGGTTTTGTATGTACTGTAAGAATACAGTTGTGCTGTATTTTTATGGATTCATCAAGGAGTAAAATGTTCTGCTTTAGTAAATTACGCAGGTAACTGAAGTGTTGTTATTCCTTTAAAGATCAAAGTAATGCATCACCATGTTTGGTGGAAATTTTCTAAGTATTTATTACATGCTTAGGGATTAGCTGACAAGATATACCAAACATGAAAACCTGTAAAACTGATTAAAATACCAAAATATGAACATCACACTATGGAGATTATGCCTCACTACTCAGAGTGTGGCTCAGGAACCAGTGTGTGTAGCCCTGCACTGATAGTTTGTTAGAAATGCACGGTCTCAAGCCTGCCCCAGACCAGCTGATGTTACCAAGAACCCCCAGGGGATGAGAACAGACATTAAAGACTCAAGGGCCGAACATGGTGGCTCACACCTGTAATCCCAGCACTTTGGTAGGCTGAGGCAGGCAGATTGTTTGAGCTCAGGAGTTCAAGACCAGCCTGGGCAACAGAGAGAGATCCCTGCCTCTACAGAAATACAAATCAGCCAGCTGTGGTGGTCCACACCTATGGTCCTAGCTAGTTGGAAGGCTGAGGCAGGAGGATTGCTTGAGCCGAGATCAAGGCTGCAGCCAGCCATGGTCATGCCACTGCACTCTAGCCTGGGTGATAGAGACCCTGTTTCAAAAAAAAAAAAAGGCCAGAGTTTTTAGGGGGATGAGAAATATTCTTGGTAAATTAAGCTTTTTTTTTGGAGACAGTCTTGCTCTGTCGCCCAGGCTGGAGTGAAGTGGTGCTACCTCAGCTCACTGCAACCTCCGCCTCCCAAGTTCAAGTGATTCTCCTGCCTCAGCCTTGGGAGGAGCTGGAACTACAGGCATGCACCACCACGCCCAGCTAAATTTTTTGTTTGTTTTTTTTTTTTTTTTTTTTTTGAGACGGAGTTTCGCTCTTGTTACCCAGGCTGGAGTGCAATGGCGCGATCTCGGCTCACTGCAACCTCCACCTCCTGGGTTCAGGCAATTCTCCTAGCTCAGCCTCCTGAGTAGCTGGGATTACAGGCATGCGCCACCATGCCCAAATATTTTTGTATTTTTAGTAAAAACGGGGTTTCTCCATGTTGGTCAGGCTGGTCTTGAACTCCCGACCTCAGGTGATAAGCCCGCTTTGGCCTCCAAAGTGCTCGGATTACAGGTGTGAGCCACCGCGCCCGGCCTCCCTACTCCATTTTTAACTAAACATTTTTTAATTAGGAAAATTAGGCACATAAATGTTAAACTTAATTTTAGCAAATTTAGTTTTCAACTTTTTTTTTTTTTTTTTTTTTTTGGGACAAGGCTCACTGTTGCCTGGCAGGAGTGCAATGGGGCAATCTTGGCTCACTGCAACCTCTGCCTCCCGGGCTCAAGCGATTCTCCTGCCTCAGCCTCCCGAGTAGCTGGGATTGCAGGCACACATCACCACACCTGGCTAATTTTTGTATTTTATTTTTCCTCTTTTTTTATTTTTATTTTCAGTCTGTGCTTATTCATTATAATTTTTATATTTTTAATAGACACGGGGTTTCACCATGTTGGCCAGGCTGGTCACGAACTCCTGACCCTCAGGTGATCCACCCGCCTCAGCCTCTCAAAGTGATGGGATTACAAGCATGAGCCATCATGCCCAGCCAGTTTTCAACTTTTAAAAGTAAAAGTGGCAGAAATGTTTTGTTTTGTTTTGTTTTGCTTTGCTTTTTGAGAAAAGGTCTCGCTGTTGCTGTGTCACCCAGGTTGGAGTGCAGTGGTGGGATCTCAGCTCACTGCAGCCTCCACCTCCCAGGCTCAAGGGATCCTCTCAGCTCAGCTCCCTAGCAGCTGGGACCGTAGGCACACGCCACCACGCCTGGCTAATTTTTGTATTTTTTGTAGAGATGGGTGTCTCCTCGTATTGCTCAGGTGATCCATTTGCTTCCGCCTTCCAAAGTGCTTATTATTGGCATAAGCCACCGTGCTCGGCCAAAAGTGGCAGAAAAATTGATATGGTTTATAATCAGTTTTATTGTGGAGAAGATGGGCCATTTTAATGAATAATTACTTCTATTGACTACTGAGTCATGACATGAAAAATACACATGAAGCTAATCACGTGCAGTTATACAGTTATCACAAATCATCCAATTACTTGTCTGGTCTTCACACTAAGGGGTTTTCTTAGATAAAGCCATCTGTGATTTCAGTTGTTAAAAGTGTGACTTTTTAAACATTTATTCAATGCATCCTGATTTATTTCACAATGAAAAATTATGTACCCTTTTTTTTTCTGAATAAATAAACCTCATTGTTAGTGACAAAGTGTTAAGTGATCATGGTCGTTACTGGATAACTAGAAATTCAGGTAAAGAGGACCTGTAGATATTTAAAGCCATCTGGCATGTAGGCTTCTACTGTTACAATTAAAACTGCCTTGAGATAGTATTGCTTTTTTTTTTTTTTTTTTTTTTTGAGACAGAGTTTTACTCTTGTTGTCCAGGCTGGAGCACAATGGCATGATCTCAGCTCACCGCAACCTCCGCCTCCCAGCTTCAAGTGATTCTCCTGCCTCAGCCTCCCTAGTAGCTAGGATTACAGGCTCACACCACCTCGCCTGACTAATTTTTGTATTTTAGTAGAGATGGTGTTTCTCCATGTTGGTCTGGCTGGTCTCGAATTCCCAACCTCAGGTGATCTACCTGCCTCGGCCTCCCAGGGTGCTGGGATTACAGGTGTGAGCCACCACAATCGGCCTGATAGTATTGCATTTTAAGAACAAACACATTTTACGCCAGGTGCGGTGGCTCACGCCTATAATCCCAGCACTTTGGGAGGCCAAGGCGGGTGGATCATGAGGTCAAGAGATCGAGACCATCCTGGTCAACATGGTGAAACCCTGTCTCTACTAAAAATACAAAAATTAGCTGGGCATGGTGGCGCGCGCCTGTAGTCCAAGCTACTCGGGAGGCTGAGGCAGGAGAATTGCCTGAACCCAGGAGGCAGAGGTTGCGGTGAGCCAAGATCGTGCCATTGCACTCCAGCCTGGGTATCAAGAGCGAAACTCCGTCTCAAAAAAAAAAAAGAAAAATAGGGTATATGAGAACTGAGCTAAATAATATGCCATTATCAAAGGAGTGTGGCACAAGAACACTATATTAATGCCACTAACAAAATTATTGTTGAGTGCTCATTGTTAATGGGATTAACAAAATACATCTTTGTGAAACTGAGGCATGAAAATAGATAGTATATAAAATCTGGGGCTGGGCGAGGTGGCTCACACCTGTAATCCCAGCACTTTGGGAGGCTGAGGCAGGTGAGTGAGGTCAGGATTTCGAGACTAGTCTGGGCAACATAGTGAAACCCCGTCTCTACTAAAAATACAAAAAAATTAGCCGGGTGTGGTGATGTGCACCTGCAATCCCGGCTACTCAGGAGGCTGAGGCAGGAGAATCATGTGAACCCAGCGGGTGGAGGTTGCAGTGAGCCTAGATTGTGCCATTGCAGTCCAGCCCAGGTGACAATGCAAGACTCTGTCTCAAAAAAAAAAAATGGAGGGGCCGGGTGCGGTGGCTCAAGCCTGTAATCCCAGCACTTTGGGAGGCCGAGGCGGGTGGATCACGAGGTCAAGAGATTGAGACCATCCTGGTCAACATGGTGAAACTCCCTCTCTACTAAAAATACAAAAAATTAGCTGGGCACGGTGGCGCGTGCCTGTAGTCCCAGCTACTCAGGAGGCTGAGGCAGGAGAATTGCCTGAACCCAGGAGGCGGAGGTTTCGGTGAGCCGAGATCGCACCATTGCACTCCAGCCTGGGTAACAAGAGCGAAACTCCGTCTCAAAAAAAAAAAAAATGGATAACACAAAGGTAATTAATAAAAATAGCCCAGGCACAGAAGCTCACGCCTGTAATACCAACACTTTGGGAGACCAAGGTGGGCGGATCCCTTGAACTCAGGAGTTTGAGACCAGCCTGGGCAACAGGGGGAAACTCTGTCTCTATTTAAAAAAAAAAAAAAAAAATTAACCAGGCATGGTTGCGTGCACCTAGAGTCCCAGCTACTCAGGAGGCTGAGGTGGGAGGATGGTTTGAGCCCGGGAGGAGGAGATTACAGTGAGCTGTGATCAAGCGGCAGCACTCCAGCCTGGGCGACAGAGCCAGACTCTGTCCAAAACAAACAAATAAATAAATAAATAATCATGAGCTTGTGATGGATGTCTTGATGTCCACGTTACCATGCTTTTAGAAATGGGCTAAACCATTCAGTCTCCTGGTGGCGGGTAGTCATCCTCAAGCATGACTGCACAATAGGACTGCTGGCAAGTCCAGCTGCTACTGATGCCCAGGCTCCCCTGCAGAGATACTGATTTATTTGGCTGGGGATGTAGCCCTGAGGGTACAGCGTTGTTTGAAACTCTCCAAGACTTTGAAGCAGCAGCCAAGATCTAGAACCTCGGGGCCCAGGGAAAGACTCGAGTGGAAAGTCAGGAGACTTAACTTGGTGAAAATACTCAGCCTGACACACGCAGATGCTGCTGCTGCTGCTGCTGCTGCTGCTGCTACTTCTTCCTCTTCCTCTTCTTCCTCTTCCTCTTCTTCCTCTTCCTCCTCTTCTTCCTCTTCCTCTTCTTCCTCTTCCTCTTCTTCCTCTTCCTCTTCTTCCTCCTCTTCTTCCTCCTCCTCTTCTTCCTCTTCCTCTTCTTCCTCTTCTTCCTCTTCCTCTTCTTCCTCTTCTTCCTCTTCCTCCTCTTCCTCCTCTTCCTCTTCTTCCTCCTCTCCTTCTTCCCCTTCCCCTTCCCCTTCCCCTTCCCCTTCCCCTTCCCCTTCCCCTCCTCCTCCTCCTCCTCCTCCTCCTCCTCCTCCTCCTTCTTCTTCTTCTACTTCTCTCTTCTTCTTCTTCTTCGTTTTGCTCTCCTTGCCCAGGCTGGAGTGCAATGGCGCAATCTTGGCTCATTACAACCTCCGCCTCCTGAGTTCAAGCAATTCTCCTGCCTCAGCCTCCTGAGTAGCTGGGACTACAGGCATAAGCCACTGCACCCAACCCACACTCAGCTTTTTTATTAGTACAATGAAAGGGTTGGATTGCACGTTTTTTAACATCCTATGTCTAAAATGTCATCCTATTTTTCAAGAGGCCTTTGTCAAATAAATACTGTTTTAGTTCTGTTTTCGAAGTGGGGTTTTATTTTGTTTTTTAGTTTTCTGAAACGTACAGTATCTCAGGTTTTCACATGGAGTACAACAGATTAAATATATGCATTTCTCACCACTCCATCCACAAACCCCACTGAGTGACAGTAAAGGAATAAAAAGAAAAGGTATACATTCATAGTGACAAAAACATAAGGGCCAGCAACAGCCAAGTGATAACAAGAACACTTTCGTGCTTCAGAAGCCTAGAAAGGCTCAGGAACTCTGGAGATACAATAACTCTGAAGGCTGTGTCAGTCTCTGCCACAATCTACAACTGACAAGGCCAAGTGGTATAAGCATATTATTATGAGATATAGAAGCAAACAGACAAAACTGCTAGGAGTTTTAAATGACTCCTGGGAAGTGGGAATTAGGGATGTGAAATGGCCTTTGCAAAAATTATAACAGTGAGAAAGGTTTTTTGTTTTTTGTTTTTTTGAGACTGAGTCTCACTGTTGTTACCCAGACTGGAGTGCAATGGCAGGATCTCGGCTCACCACAACTTCTGCCTCCTGGGTTCAAGCAATTCTCCTGCCTCAGCCTCCCGAGGAGCTGGGACTACAGGCGCACATCACCATGCCCAGCTAATTTTTGTATTTTTAGTAGAGACGGGGTTTCACCTTGTTGACCAGGATGGTCTTGATCTCTTGACCTCGTGATCCACCCGCTTCAGCCTCCCAAAGTGCTGGGATTACAGGCCTGAGCCACCGCGCCCGGCCGAGAAAGGTTTTTTTCAATTTTTTTATTTTATTTTATTTTTTGGGACAGAGTCTTGCCCTGTTGCCTAGGCTGGAGTGCAGTGGAGATCTCAGCTCATTGCAACCTCCGCCTCCCGGGTTCAGGTGATTCTCCTGCCTCAGCCTCCTGAGTAGCTGGAATTACAGGTGCATACCACCATGCCTAGAATTTTTGCATTTTTAGTAGAGACGGGGTTTCACCATGTTGGTCAGGCTGGTCTCAAACTCCTGACCTCGTGATCGGCCTGCCTCAGCCTCCCAAAGTATTGGGATTACAGGTATGAGCCACCGTGCCCAGCCTAACAGTGAGAAAGTTATCACAGTGCATAGATCTGACCTAACTGACTCCATCTTGCTTCCATGTTCCTTCCAGGGCATAGGCCAAACTAACTTTGGGAAGAACTTAGTTTATAGTTTAACTTTGACACAAAGATTATAACAGCCCTTTCCTAGGCTGGGTGCAGTGGCTCAAACCTGTAATCTCAGCACTTTGGGAGGCCGAGGCAGGTGGATCACGAGGTCAAGAGATCGAGACCATCCTGGTCAACATGGTGAAACCCCATCTCTACTAAAAATACAAAAAATTAGCCGGGCATGGTGGTGTGCGCCTGTAGTCCCAGCTACTCGGGAGGCTGAGGCAGGAGAATTGCTTGAACCCGGGAGGCGGAGGTTGCGGTGAGCCGAGATTGCACCATTGCACTCCAACCTGGGTAACAAGAGTGAAACTCCTTCTCAAAAGAAAAAAATTTGCCAGGTGACTGAGGTGGGAGGATCACCTGAGCCTGGGAAGTCAAGCTTGCAGAGAGCCATGATTGCAACACGGCACTCCAGCTGGGGCGACTGTCTAAAAAAACAAACAAAAAACCCCAACAAACTCTACTTAGTTTTTTATTTTTGCTTAAATCTTTAATAAAAGGTGAGCCAGGAGTGGTGGCTCACGGCTGTAATCCCAGCACTTTGGGAGGCGGAGGCGGGTGGATCACGAGGTCAAGAGATCGAGACCATCCTGGTCAACATGGTGAAACCCCGTCTTTACTAAAAAAAAATACAAAAAATTAGCTGGGCATGGTGGCGCGTGCCTGTAATCCCAGCTACTCAGGAGGCTGAGGCAGGAGAATTGCCTGAACCCAGGAGGCGGAGGTTGCGGTGAGCCGAGATCGCACCATTGCACTCCAGCCTGGGTAACAAGAGGGAAACTCCGTCTCAAAAAAAAAAAAAAAAAAAAATCTTTAATAAAAGGTGAGGGCAGGCTCATGCTTGTAATCCCAACACTTTGGGAGGATCACTTGAGCCCAGCAGTTCAGCCTGAGCAACAAAGTGAGATGCAGTCTAAAAAAACTAGCTGGGCATTTACCGCTATGGCAGGAGGAAGGTCTGAGCCCAGGAGGCCGAGGCTAC